AATTGTCAATGTTCAAAACAATGTTACCAAGTATTATGAACTTACATTCATTTTTTAAATTGACTGGGAGTAGCAATCTATCAAATTTTAACAATTTTTAAAAGTCACGTACACGTATGAAAGTTTAAATTTTATCGATAAGTATAGAGGAAACGTCTTACATGATATCTTTGGATCAATTAAAGTAAAATTTCAAATACTCCAATTTCAAATATATATATATATATATATATATATATATATATATTAAGAAGACGCTAGTAAAAAGAAGAAAACAATATGATATAATGTTACTTTCATGAAAATAGTCACAATCTCTTCATATTTAACTATTTAATTGTGATAATTTTTTTGAAATATATGACATATCGTGTTAATTATTTAATACTTCTTTTAAATCAAAGGTAGCATTACTTGATTGAGAAATCAGACTTATTGTAAGACATAAAAAACACATGCATTGCATGTCGGACTTTTGGAGTGAGGTTCTTTTAGTCTCAAGTATGCAAAATGAATGGTGATGCAACTTTGGTGATCCAAACGGAATTCAATGGAGTCGGATCCAATTTTTTATGAGTTTATACAATTATTTTTACAAAACAAATGCTAAGCTAACAAAAATGGATATTTACTACGTACCTGTATCAAATACGTATTAAATATCTATATTCTTTAATTACTTGCGAATACGTATCTATAATTTTATAATATATTTTTTTAATTTTTAACACATATTCAATACTTATCTGACACTTTATAACACATTTTTAATAAACTTTAAACATTAAAATATATTTTTTAAAAATAATAATATAACATAATTATTAAGAAAAGTTCAAAATTTATCAACTGATGACTAAGAATGATTATTTTATATATATATTGAAACGAACTTTTTATGTTATATTAATGATTGTATTTAGATTAATAATATTGTTGAAAATTGATAAAGAAAAAAAAAAATTCATATATAAAAAAAGTATTTATTACTCCCTCGGTAATTTCCATAATACTTGTTATAACGGGTGGACGCTTATCCATTTACCGAAAACCTTAAGTTGTTAGCTAATATTGCATACTTATCAATTTATAACCCCTTTCATTTTTCATCCGTATTCGATGTGAGACAAAATACCCCTTCTAACATTTTTTCCCACCTGAACTTAGAACGCCCTCGTTACGATCGAGCCACCCTGCCTACCTAGATGGCTAACCCAAACGCCTTCTGGGCAGGATGTTTGGCATGACACCGGATCAAGGATTAGATCTGACTATGATACTAATTGTAACGGGTAGACGCTTGTCCATTTATTCAAAAAAGTTTAAGTTGATGAACAGTGCTGCATACCCACCCATTTATAACCCTTTTTACTTTTCATCTAGATCCGATGTGAAACAAAATACTCCTTATTCCTTGTAACACTTGTCTACTTTAAAAATTGTGACCAAATTTACAAAATTGTGAGTCACACTTTCCAGAGTGAAGAAGTATCATGGAAGATGGAGTGTAATCTACTAATTGTATTATTGTTGTTGATTTTTTTTTTCTATAAATTTGTTACAGTGGTGTCCGTGTCATACCTGCATCCCGTACCCTAAGTTTTAGTTAGGATTAGACTGGAATTTAAGTGTTTACTTTTTTAAATATATTTTATATACAAGTAATCATAATCAATTTGGTATGCTCTTCAAATCTTGATTTATTATGTAATGGTTCTTTGGAAGTGATTTTTTTTTTTACAGTTTGTTTACAATTATTTATAGATTTACATTCAACCCTTTGAAATTTTTTATGTGAGGCGCAATGAAGAGACTAATTCTAGATAAACCTGATTTAAACACAATTTTTGTAAACCAACATTGACCAGCTTTAAAAGTGTTAATTATTGAAAAAAAAAAAAAATTTGGTTGAATATTAAGTTGAATTTGTATTGGTAGTTTCAGACTCACATTCAATCTCAATTGACCCCTCAAGCTGTTCGGTTCACCCGAATTGAACCGGCATTACCTAATTATATGACCAAATTACCCCTACTATAATAATAAAAGATGCATTGCACGCTTTCTGACTACTACATCTACCTCATTAACACGAGTAGAGCCGTACCTAAATACGGCTGCTCCCAGATCCGTATATGAAACTAAAAATTAAAAATATCAGTTGACCTCTTCTTCTCAGCCGTCCGATCTTCACGAATCACGTTAAATGAAAAGAATGATTGATCAGACGGCAATAAATAAAGAACCTACCGTGAGGGCCCCACACTCACAGCCTTTTCCCCCAACGGACAGTTTCCTAAGTTGTTCCACCTCGTGGAAAGTGAAAACCATGACATTGATAAAGCACCGAAACCATGCCTGCATCACGTGACTACATTTATTATTGGCTTAACCCCACCCCCCACTACCACCACCCACCCATGCGGGCCCCACTTTGGAAACCGTATCAATCTATCTAGATATCCGTGAAAATACAAAAGTACCGAAAAAAGTGAACGATCCACGTGGCCTAACCCGAAAAAGGTCGGGTCTAACAAATCTACACCCATCTTGAGGACACGACGACAGCCAGCTAATGCGGCCAATCAGCGTGCGTCGTTTTGGGCGGTTGGGCTTCTCGAAATCGGTGGATAATGATCCGCTTTTGCGGCTTGGGTTTTCGCTTGGCTTGGCTTGGCTTGTCATGAGATTGGGTCTTCGGGTAATCGAGAATACTAGACGGGGCATGGCGCTGTGTAGTGGGTCCCATTATGTCGATGGGTTGTCGTGCGTGTCGGACAATAACAAGAGAGAGTTGTACTTGTCGTCTAATCAGCAGATATTGTTATTTTATGGGCATCCACTTCTGGACGCCGTACCGTATTGCATTAAACTTGCAAGTAGCATGGCATCTCACGTGACAGGCAGCTGAATAAAGTGAATGTTAGGTGGAACAATCTTTAAGCAATAGTATATTTTTTCTTTATGGAAAATGAACTAATTAATTTCTTAAAGAAAATTTATCAAGCAACCATCACAAATTAATTGGTGACCATGTCCACATCGGGATGAGAGACTTACGGGTATAATGTGTATATATATATAGTTTAAGTGTTAGTTTCATTAAATAATTTAAATTTTTTTTTTTTGATTGGATCACCAACCACTCATTCGTTATAATAATTTATTATAATATTATATATTTTAAAAAATTTTAAATTACCAATGAAGATTTAACTCAACTGTCCATTAATAATCTGAATAAGATAATTTATTTTTTTAAAAAATTGGATAAAAATATATTTAATTTAATTCGACAAAATATGTGATACATTCTTATAATTATTTTTTAATCTTCGTTTTTTCTTCCCTTATTTCTATTACTCTTACTCTTAAGTTTTTTTCATTAAGAAGGAGTAAAGGATTTTTATTTTTATTAAAAAGTAAGAAAGATTAGAAGTTAGATGAGTAGATGTAAAGAGTCGAAATCTGATACTTCTAAAATTCACCATAAGCACTAATCAGGCTATCGAGACATCTGCAACAAAGAGTAAAGGATAAAATTTTCTTTTCATTTTTCTTATTTATTTTATTTGTGTTTCATTTTCTCTCTTCCTTATTCTAATCATTAATTATTGATCTCTTTTGACATTAAATTTGATGGACAAAACTTGTCTACTCACCCTAATAAATGCATAAATAATTCATAATAGACAAAAATTATGTCTTCACTAGTGAATATATATATCATTCTCATTATTGATATGGACCAAAAATTCTTTTTTTATTACAAATCAAAGATGATGATATATATATATATATATATATATATATATATATATATATATATATATCCATTATCTTTAATTCGTTAAGTGTCTATATATCCACCATATTTGATTAGATAATTAAAAATTATTGATTTACATTAAAAATAATGAAGACGATTTACATTCAAACTGGATGTAAGTATTGTCGTGTATAATTATAAAATCAGGAAACAATATATAAGAAAATAGAAAATGATTCTTGTACCGAATAGTTGTAGTGAATTACTAGACTTACTTTTTTAATTTATTAATTATTTAACAAATAAAAAAGCGGAAGGCATAAGAAAATGGGTGATTGAATTTATTCTTAAAAAAAATTATTACCCCTATTTATCACTTTTTAAAATTTATAATTAATGCCTAGGTGTAATTGGATCACATTAACCATACCTATGAATGACCTACCCACCGCAACATAGCCAAGTCCTTCAAAAATTTGATGCCCGGGAGATTATCTGTTAAAGATCAAGGACAACCTGTGAAACTTCTTGATCATTTTTAGATTTTTCTCATAATAGTAAGTAGTACAGTAGAAACTATGATTTTACCTTTTGGTCAATTTAATAATTTTTGTATAATTTATTTATTTACCATCTTTTTAGGGTAAATTTGACTATTTACTGGAGTATCTCAAAACATAAAAATCTGTTTTTGCAATTCAAAAGCTAAGCAATGCCTGGCTTGCCAGCATGTATCCCCTCATCGACCTCAAAATTTTCAACCAAATTGACCAAACTATCCAAAAATTCACCGCTAATTTAATTTGCTCCCATTATGGCAATTATCAAAGCAAACAAATACCATCTCCCAAAATCAAAACCTCCAGTCCAAACCAGCCGAGCCGAGATAAAAGGAAAAGCCAAGAAAAACTAAAGGCTGACAGATAGCGTAAGGCTTGACTAGGTCGGTGGGCCCAGCCGAACTGACCGGACTTCAAACACCAAATTCAAACGAGTTAATTAACGAATACAAAAACAAAATAAAATAATTGGGAAAAACAAAATAAACGGATACACGTTAAAAAAAGGATCGAAAAAAGCAAAAGTCACAACGTCCGTGATGGCCGAAGTATTCGCTCCCACGCGCCTGCGTCCCCATCATCATTACTTTCTCTCTCCTCTTTCTCTTCCTATCTCTCTCTACTTTCCTCTACTTTCTCTCTCTACATTGTCACTACTATATAAACTTGGCTCTCTCTTTGCCACTTCCACAACATCCACTCCATTTCATATTATCTCTCTTTCTAATCGAAACCCTAACCCTAGCTCTACCAGCTTTTCAGTATTTCTCAATGTCTGCGTTCGTGGAAGACCAAAGCACTAAGAAGCGAGTACGAGATGAATGGGACGAGTCAGAGCTGGACTCAGCCGAGGTGAAGAGACTCAGGGACGACCTCCTAAATCTCGACGACTCGGATCTCGGAACCAGTAGTCCTGACCTCGACTCATTTATGAAGAGCTTCGAAGAAGAGATCTCCGTGTCGCCGGCTCCACCGGCGAACGTTGTAGATCTGACGTCAGACGCCGGAGATTCCCAACCGGAGCTCGGCTACCTCTTGGAAGCCTCCGACGACGAGCTCGGCCTCCCCCCGTCGACTGCGTCGTCAAGCGAGGCGGAGAACAACGAAGAGACCGAGTTGGTCCGAGTTCCGACGGACTCGACCGGACTCGGCGAGTTATGGGGGTTTGATGATGAGATCCCGAGTTACGACTCGTTCGGGTTGGGAATCGTTGGTGGTGATAGTTATATTAATAACGGCGAGTACGTTGCGTTAGACGGGTTGTTCGTTCATTCGGATCAATTATTCGGGTCATCGGAATACCCGGATGGCTCGTGGTGGTCGGAAACGTTGCCGGCGCAGTAGTAACGGCGAAATGTTGTAGTGAAAAAGCATATTGTAAAGGTTTTTTTTGTTCTTTTATTAAACAGGGCTAAGGAATACCAAAAATTTCAGCCAGATCTGACTGTTGTTGATCTATTGCTTAAGAGTGGACAATACAGAGATGTGGATTTGATTGATTTTAGTTATTTAATTGGATGAAAATTAGATGTTAAAATTATTAAATTTTATATAATATTTGAAAATCCAGAAAATGGAGAGATGGAAAAACAAATCCTTACAGTTGAAAATTCCCAAACGAAACGATTAGTAGAAGATCAAAAATCAACTGTAATTTTAGATATTATGAGGATAATTATGAATATCATAAAAATTCAATATATACTATATTTTCTCAAGGGATTTGGATCCCCCTATCATTTCAAATGCAGGAATTAGGAAACACCAAAGTAATTCTAAAATTAATGATATATATTTTGCGCAACAAAAGTTCTAAGCGCCCATTTTTTTTATTTTTTTCCACCTTTTCTATTTTGTAATATTATTTAGAGGCACCTACCTACCTTGGCCACTATTACCTTTCTCGTAGACTGGTGTGAAATATTATTATTAATATTGCAAAGAAAATTGAGAATTTTGAATGGAAAAAATTAGACTTTTAAATGAAGAAGGAAATTTTAATTTTTTTTTAATTTAACATCTGAGCCATCCATCCGGTGCCACCCAGCACCGTATCCGAGCCATCCATCAACTGCATGAGCTGATGTGTGTACATCTTGGACGGCTTGGATGCGTCTAGTCGCACCTAATATCTATTTCATGAGAAGAATCAGTCTAACCTATCTAAACTAATGGTCGTAAGAGAGTGAGATGTCTCTCATGAAAAGGAGTAAGTATTGGGTGCACGCACCTAAGGCGTGTACATTTTGGATGGCCCGCATGTGCAAGATGCAACTGACACACCCGTTATCTATTTCATGAAAAGAGTTATGAGCTCCCGATTTAAATAATGGATAAATTATTATTATTATTATTGTTTTGTAAAAATAGAGTAAGTAAGTATTGGGTGCACCCAGCACAACTGACGCATGTACATTTTGGATGGCTCGAATGCACCAAATATTTATTCCATGAGAAGTGTCATGAGCTTTTCCTACCTAGCATATTTAACCATTAGATGAAACAACCTTTTGAAATGTGTGAAGAGTCAAAATAATTATTTAATATATTTAAATTAAAAAATAAGAATATTCGTAACTCTTCTTATGAGAAGGATCTCTTAAAAACATTACTCAATCGTCATCGTCGTCGTCGTCGATGGAGGTGTTATTAGTGTAAAGGTGGATGTGGAGGTAGAGTTAGCAGTGGTGGAAGGTGGTACGTGGTGGTGATGGAAGTCGGGGAAAGTGAAGGTGGAGATGGCGGCGGCGGTGGTGACGGTGATGGAAGTTGGTGGCGATGGTGGTAGAGGTGTCGGTAGTGGTCGAGGGTGGCGACGGCGGCAGTGGTGGTAGAGGTGATAAAAGTCGACGACAGTAGTGGTAGAGGTGGCGACGGTGTGATGGTGGTAGAAGACAGCTATGGTGGTGGTGGTGACAGTGACAAAGGTGGAAGGTGGTAGTGATAATAAAGGCAGCGACAGTGTAGTGGTAATGAAGACGGTCGTGGTAGTGGTGGCAATGACAGTGGTGGAAGACAGTGAAGGTGGTGATGGAAGAAGGTGGCCTTAGTGGAAGAAGGTGGCAGTAGTGAAAGTCGATGGTAGGGGTGGCCACAGTGGAAGTGGGGTGGAGGTGGCTAAAGGTAGTGGAGGTGACGGTGGTGTGTTGGTTGAAGGTGGCAATAATAGTGATGGTGGTTTTTGGACTTAGAACATGAGGATTTTTTGAGAACTTGATTTTTTAAAAAATATTGTTTGGGAATGGAATGACCATTCCATAGATTTAGCAGTAGAATAGATTTTTATTCCAATAAAATGGTCATTCTCACTTTAAATTGCATACCAAATAAGAAAATGATTGGAATAGACATCTCATTCCATTCCTGCACACTAAACTAAACGCAAGATTAGTTATTTAGTTATTTTTTAGATGTTGGGGTGAGATAAATACATTTGTCCACAAATAATTTTTATTTTTATAAAAAAAGAGTAATGCTATTATGCTTGATTTAAGTCTTTGTCATCAATGGATTCTTTCGTAAGGTATTTTGTATGCAAGTTTATCTTTTTTTTATTTAAAGCAATTTATGCATTAAATGTGTTTTCTTGAAATTGAAATAGGGAAAAGGAAATAAATATTAAATTGGAACCAAGGTAGTATATTTTATAATATAAAATTTAAGTTAATATGTTGAATTGGGAATGAATATCTATATTTGGAGATGATTCGGAACATTTTAACTGGAAAGGGGAAAAATTAGAAATATGAAATAAAATTCTTAATTGCATTAATTGATTAGATGAGCTGTAATATTATGTTGGAGGGTATACCAGCGATTAAACATAGAGAACTTGAAAGGCCCCACGGGCCCATAAATGATTAAACATTTTCTTACCGGGACTTTTAGGTGAATGGTACCAATTCCCAAATTTGGCAAAGGTGTTGGGTGCTTATCGTTCACCAACTCATTTGAGTTACACGTGCACAATATGTGTTATTTTTGCTCAACATTTAAGACTTGAATAAATTTGGTGTACAGTATGCACACCCAACATCCATTCGATTTGCTAGTTACAAGAGATTAAAGATAGAGAACTTGAAAGGCCTCATGAGCCCATAAATGATTAAAACATTCTTCAAACCAACTTTTACGTGAATTGATCCCAAACTTGGAAAAATATTGGGAGCGAATTGTACATCAGGTCAACCGAGTCATACGTGCCACAATAGGTGCCTACTCCTACTCGACGCTAACGGCTCAAAAAAGGCTGGTATAGGTTGTGCGTACCCAATGTCTATTCCCAAACTTCTGCTTCAGTACTACTTGAATTCTACCTCAGTGGGTCAGAGCTAGAAATTAAAGGCTGTCATTAATAGCTTCAAAATTTTCATTGAAACTTATGGTGATCAGGTCTGACATGCATTCATTTCATTTGAGGAGTTAAATAATTCTTGCAATAGAGTGAATTATTTAACATATTCTTTAAATTGGTTAAGTATATAATAAATAAGAAAGTAGGACCCTTCACTCGTTGCATGGTCATAACTTACAAATACTTTACCAAAATACATATATCATTTTTTTTGGCTCACATATATTAGCTTTTTGATTCTATTGTAAGTTCCCTTTATTCATTACGTGGTTGCATGTTTGATTTATCACTCAAAAAATAGTTATTAAAAATTAGAAAAAAACAAAAAACTATTTACAAGTTATCTAAAAATAGATTATTTTAAAAATAATTTTCAAGTATTTTTAACCAAATAAGTTTTTGTATACTCTTTAGACTTTGAGTAAAGTCCAGCAACACCCATGAGATATGTTAAAAGGACATTAAGATAAAACTTAGTTACTTTTGGGACAAAGACACCCTTAAGTTTGATACAATTATCAAAGAGACTCTAATGATAATGAATTGACATTTTTACCTTTTAACTTTTATACAAATAGTTTACTTTCTACCCTTCAAAAAAATAGGTCCTTTACTCTTTATCCTTCAAAAAAAATAAAATAAAATAAAATCTCCGGTGGTTTACTCTTTACCCTTCAAAAAAATAAAATAAAATAAAATCTCTGATTGTTTACTCTTTACCCTTCAAAAAATAAAATAAAAACAATCTTTTACGAAAGCAATAAAGTGTTGTCATTTCATGTTTTCTCTCCTTACCAAAAGAGGTTAACATTAGCTGTCTTCTACAATTTTTGCGCTTTTCTTTCCATAATTAACCCCAAATAGCTGGAAAATATGATGACAGCCACATGGGACATGATCCACCACTTGAGCAAACTTACAAGCCAACCCTAATTACAAGTGGACCTAGGCCCATCCAAACTAGTACCAATTGAAGTAAACATAGCCGAAAGTAGGTAGTCACGGGCTCATTGGTGAACAATTAAAAGTAGTCCGTAGCTTTTTGGTGAACAATTAAAAGCTTGGGTAGATACAACTAACAAATGCATACTATTATTATTACAGTTTTTTTGGTAAGTAATAAATGAATTTGAAATTTTGACCCTATTAATGTATTCTCATCTGACTTTTTATATGAGGTACATTTTGAATACTCCCTTTAACTCAATTTATGATAATGTGTAGGGTAGTTAACTTAAAGAGGATTTTTGTCCCTCTACGTGAATCACATAATAATTGTGCTGTGGTGCACTCTAGGTCACATAGAGTGAGAGGGGGAAAGAAAGTGACAGAACAAAAGTATCAAAGTTTAAAATTTTTTAAAGTAGGAACGTCTTGAGAGCGTTGTATATTCGATTTAAAAAAAATTATATCAGGTCATGACATATATATTTTATATTTATTTATTTATTTAAATTCGTATGCAAATATATTCATTATTATAGTTAACTTTTCTCACTAGTAATGCGTGACTTATTGTAGTATTGGAATACCTTATAGTTGGGGCAGACATGAAATTTAAGTAATCAATATATATATTGAGTAATAGTGTAAGTAATATATGCATATATGGTAATATAAGTGTTCTATATCACTAGACTTTAACAAATTTAGTTGTATAAAGTAAATTAGTATGAAAATCGCGAATTTGGAGCAAAAATTGAATTCACGGATTTTGTGCGAATTCACTCCCAAATCGCAAATTCGTGTGCGAAGCTTGAGAGCAAAACATCTTTGAACGAATTGTGTGACTTAGGGTGCACCTCATCATATAAGAGTTGAAGTACGCATCGATGGTCAGGATCCATTTGCCATATGGTATGAAGAGCAATGAGTTTTTCACATATAATCATCATTTTGATATGATTTTGTAAAATATGTAAAAATTAAAATAAATTATTTAATACATCTTTTAATTTATTACTTTTCTGTCCCAAAAAGAATGTTTCTTTTGAAAAATTGTGACTTACACAGTTCTTCAAAAGAGACATTTATTTTAAAATAGAGTGAGTAATTAATATGAATAGCTCATAAACTAAAAATGTGAGCTGCATGTATGTCTTAAATGAGCTTCTGAGAGTCTATGACAGGATTAGTCACACATGGGTGACTAAT